CCGTATGTTATTGCTGAGTGACTCTCAGCATGACTGAAATGCTGAACAATTACTTTTCACGGTGGGTGGTATAAGTAGCTCAGAACTTTGGCTTTGGAGGAAACCAAGAGTGTAACACAAATAACTTTACTAAAGTACATGAAATTATTTCAAATGATAGATTAACTTAAACTTTTCCCGTCATTGTGAACGGGTACTTTTGCGTTATGCTAGAATTAAAAAATAAGCACACTACAAGAATGATCAAATAAACATCCTACAATAATTAAAAAACTATACATGCCAATTACTAAATGATAAGCAATAAGTGACAATTAGGTAGAATATGCTGAAAACCTACAAGGTTTATTTTCTGTTCTAAAGTTTAACGTTTGTTGGTTTCATTTCGCGTAAAGCTACTCGAAAGCTATCTTCGCTAGCCGTCCGTAATTTTAAACTGAGCTAGTCAAAATCCCCCACCGCCAATTCTTGAGCTAATCTTTACCAACGACAAGTGAATTGACCGTTATATTATAACGTTCACTTCTGTATAAAACATTGAGTAAAAAGATGACCAACATATTAATAGATTACTTCTGTATAAAACATTGAGTAAAAAGATGACCAACATATTAATAGATTACTTCTGTATAAAACATTGAGTAAAAAGATGACCCAACATATTAACTCTTGAGCTACTCTTTACCAACGACAAGTGGATTGACCTTTATATTGTAACGTTCACTTCTGTATAAAACATTGAGTTGAAAGATGACCAAAATATTAATAGATCACTTCTGTGTAAAACATTTACTACTTCTCATTATCTAAGACTCTAAATCATTTAACGATAACTACATACTTCTCATTATCTAAGACTCTAAATCATTTAACGATAACTACATACTTCTCATTATCTAAGACTCTAAATCATTTAACGATAACTACATACTTTTCATCATCATCCAAGAATCTAAATCATTGCTAAAATCAGTACCTGTGATAGAGAGATTGAAGGTTTGTACACAAAACTAGTACGTATGGTTTATAAGCTAACCCAGATACTTCGGTAACTGTCACATCCAACAATGTCCCGCCAAGTCAAATAAAATACTTTTTACTCTGATAAGCAAAAGCATTCACTTACACATTAGTTAATGTATTCTCTATAGAGGAGTCATTTTTGTAACTTTCTATTGAAAGAGAATAATGCTTGTAACAAGCATGCGCTGACACACGACTTATTATAGCTTTGCCTAGACATACTAAAAGTACATACTGTAATAAATTTACGCTATCATTTTTTCACCTTCGAGTTGGAATTCATACATTGCAGACGCAGTGAGTGTTATTGATTATTATGCGTATATCAATGGATTCTACATAAGGCTTGGTAACTATAATTACAAATGGTGTCCGTGTAATTGTGGCTATGATGACTTAAAATTTAATCACACATTATATTGTTGCGGCGCCATTTTTTGAACGATATCTACACAGTTCAAGTTGCAGAGGTTTAGTCTTTTAACAGATATTTCTCATATAAACATATCATATACTCAAAAGGAAATTAATCAATATTTTTGTGTAAGTAATCAAATTTTGTCCTTTGCAATTATTACAAACGTTTGCATTTTATATTCAGCAAATTGGTAATTATTATTAAAAAAGTGAATGTCAAGAAATATTTATTCAACAACCCACACGTGTCATAGAATTACTTGTTAAATTTCTTTTAACCAAAAGTAAATCAAACAAACTAGCCAACTGTTAGGTGTTATATATATATATATAAAGCAGTATTACTGTGAGCTTAATGGAATACAAAAAAGATAAGCAAATCATATAGAAGGCAAAAAATCATATTCCTACTATATCCTAAAATCATTCCTCCATCCCTAATTTATATATAACTTGTATATCCCTAATATTTATATAACAGAAAAGTCTGTTTTTGAAAGGTTTACATATGCAGTTGGATTGTTTTCAGTAAATCAGTAAATTATGTACTATATTTAGTTGAAACAAAATCTTAATACAAAGTGTATTAATAACGAAACAGAGCTATACAGGTTATGAATACACGTTAACAGTGATACTGTCTCATTCTAGTTTGGACACAATGTATTATTAATAATGAACCAGAGCTATACAGGTTATGAATACACGTTAACAGTGATATTGTTTCATTCTAGTTTGGACATAGTGTATTATTAATAACGAAACAGGGCTATACAGGTTATGAATACACGTTAACAGTGATACTGTCTCATTCTAGTTTGGACACAATGTATTATTAATAACGAAACAGGGCTATACAGGTTATGAATACACGTTAACAGTGATACTGTCTCATTCTAGTTTGGACACAATGTATTATTTTTAGATTGTAAGTTAAATCAATGTATAGACAATCATATGAGTATGATGCATAGAAAAATATCTATAGTATGAATATTTTTTGCATAAATGTATATGGAAAACAACCCTTTTCAGTGGACTGCGTTAGTTTTAAATTACGCGAATACATATATTTAATCACATGAATAAATCATGAAGTACTCTATTCAAATAGCCAGACTGTAAGAAACTCGACGAAACAAAATATCAATTCTACTTATTGAAACATTTTCGTTCTTATTTGCTTGTTTGAAGTTAAGCACAGAGCTACACAAAAGGGTATCTTAATATATTATTAAGAACTATAGAGAATGAAATAGTATTTTTTATTATTATATTAAATAAACTTATACAAGCCGATAATTATATTCAGACAGCAGCAACAACCTCTGGTGGTTCGCTCTCGAACCACATAACAAAACATCTGCTCGAATAATTGGCCACTGATGACACTCTAAGTAGATGATCCTCTTCGCTCCTCCTTCTAATGACCCACAGTGGAAATGAACTATCCTCTCCTAGTGGTACATTTTTGAACTATTCCCTTTCCTGAGACACTAGGTGGAACTATAACTTAATGTCATAGATTACTTGACCTCCTACATTCAAAATGTTTATAAACTAGGTAGCAGCCTTTGATCTCCTCTCACCATTCCCTCCACTGAGGTGCTCCTTTGAGTGGTATATAGGATTCCTAAGTACTTGCTTGGCTCTAAAACACTTCAAGCTGAAATGCATTATATTATCTAACATTCTCATGTTCGTGACCAGTTAACAAAGCTACGATGTTTTTAGAAAGAAAACAAACAGTAACAAATAATGTGTAAACTCTCCAAAAAAAAAACATTCATGATAAATCATCTCCTATACACATATATCTTTGATACTTTCACGTTAATTAATCTTAAATTGTTTAATCACATGTAGAATATCCCACGATTAACTACAGGTTGACGGTTTTCTTATTTGGATAAATAGATAATCAGCGTTAATTATTCATTCTTACGATTTTGAATATCAAATCGACTTTAATTATTATAAAACTTGGTTATGCTTTTCGTGATTACAAAAACTGTTTACCATCAGAATGATTTAAATTTGAAATTATAATATCATATTTTACAAACACGTATATTTTTTGTTTTTGCTTAATAAATATTTTAACTTGAGCATTTCAGAATTAGGATAGTATTTCATTATGATGAAGTACTTAAATGGCTTGGCTCAGACTTTAGGAAGACAAACAGGGAAATGCTTCAGCAAATGTTTAATGTGAGTTTTGAAATCACTAAAATGAATTTTATAATAAATCAATATCTTTTTAAATATAGCTGGGATTATTTTACATTCTGTCCTATAGTGTACTTACTACAGTAATAGGCTTTCAGCTCGGCGTTTTATTTAAGTCTATTTATTTATTTTCAAAGTATTTTTCACCATAAACGCGTATAGAGCTAGTACATTTTTTAATTGTTCTGTGATGAACAAGTGAAATTTGAAAATTTATGACTATAATTTATGTTTAGTGCAGCTCAACATTAGATCATATGCCAGTACAAAAGAGGTCATATTCTAACGTATACTTATTTATTCTATTTTCCTGTACTACGTTTCTTAACCTATTGTGCTACTGAACAAAAGGTCTGATGTTTTAAACTAAGTCAGAAACCGAAATTGTCTGAGGAAAAGAGTGTAACTATACATAACATGTAACCCTGATGGCAGTGGCAGTTTACCGTGTTTCCTCCATACATATTTTGTGGAATTGAAGCTACACACCAAGCGGAAAATCTTTATTTCTACGAGAATATTCTGAAGTAAAATCAGAAAGTATCGAATGTTCCTATACTCAAGTGCATGAATTGAATAAGTTGCATATTTACTTATTTCAATTTTTTTTTTTTCCGAAAATGAAGCGCTCGGTATTACGACATTGTTCCTCCAAGATGGAATGTTTGGATGAAGTATGTACATTGTGATTTATTTGTGTATAAAATGTACACCATAGTGTTAAAAACGAGTTCAAAATAATCTGAGATAATCTTGCAAAGAACAGTTTGATAATATAAAGTTTAACATAGGACAAAATGTACGTTAAATCAATAAAATACAGACATACATTTTCCACAAGTTTAAGATGTCATATTTATCTGAGTACTTACAGAAGCTGATACAATTAAGGCTTAAGTGTGAAAATAATAAAATGAAATAAAGTAAAAAAGAACTTTAACTGACTGTAATCTTAGCTAAGCTTATTCAGCTGACTATGCAGACGTATGCTGAGTTTCTAGAATAGAAAGGTTAGCTTCTGGGCGTCATTAAAACTTTGTTCAGAAGAACTAATTTACCTACAAGTATCAGATATGTGGACTTAGTTGCTGAGTTTCTAGAATAGAAAGGTTAGCTTCTGGGCGTCATTAAAACTTTGTTCAGAAGAACTAATTTACCTACAAGTATCAGATATGTGGACTTAGTTGCTGAGTTTCTAGAATAGAAAGGTTAGCTTCTGGGCGTCATTAAAACTTTGTGGTATGTTCAGAAGAACTAATTTACCTACAAGTATCAGATATGTGGACTTAGTTTCTTAGTGAATATGAAATGAGGAAACTGGACAAATGTAATGAAATGAATTAAGTTCTTTATTTCTACAATGAAAAGAAGCAAAGTATACATACTTATGCAGATTGGATCACAGTCAAGACATTTACTAGGTTATATTTAGTCCAGCAGCTTTTCCTCTCTCGGAATTGATCTCTATAGAGTTTGATTAAACACAATGATCTCCAAACAGTGTTTTTATTTGTTGATCTCCTTGTAGAACCAAACCAAGAAAGTGTGCTTCAGTTTCTTTGTTCAGTTGACAGCGTCACCTCTTGACCCTTTTTTCTTCCATAGCATTGGTCAATTGTAACACAAATACATTATTAATTCGGCCAGCAGAAAATATAAAAATGACCAATCTCTTCAACTGAGATGTTATGTGTTGCTGCAATATCCCTTCGGGTAGAAAAGACATCATCGACTATGGAAAACAAAGAAACAAAGTATTTAAAACAAGGCAATCTCAAGGCAAGTAGAAAATATATAATATACCAGCATTTCACATATTTAACCCTTTCTCTAATTAAGGCTTTCCCTCAAGCGTAAAATTAAAGTTAACTTTAAAATCAATAACCTTTAAATTCGTGCCATGGCCAAGGAGCACATTAACTTTCCATTGTTCCTAAAACACGTACACGTCACATAAACGACACAATTATTTAACAAATAACTACAATAAACAACAACATTCAACAATGAATTACATTAATACGTAATAAAGATACAATATTTGAACTTTAATTTTGAAATTAAATATGATATACAACCAGACACATTAAAAGTAAAATCATCTTTTAATTTAAAAATATTAAAAGAAATATCTAGATTATAAATCACAAATTAAATCTCCTTTACTTTTAAGCTTTATGAAATAGCTTAATATCTAAAAACAACAACAGGAAAAGAAAAGCCTTTTAATGAAGGTATATACATAAAAATATCCTTCAATGAATGAAATGTAAAATAAAACAACGTGCAAGTACACACTTAAAATCACGAAAAATGAAAATGGACAGTGTATTTTTTTTAGTTCCTTTTTCTTATTTAGAGATACACTGTCAACTTTAAGATTAGAAAAACCAACAAAATTAATCACAAGCCTAAAAATAGAAGTTTGAATGCATAAACAAGGAAAAAAACCATTAAAAACCCATTAATAATGAAGAGAAGCATATTACAATTTACCTTTAACAAATCGCCCAGTGGCACAGCGGTATGTCTGCGGACTTAAAACCCTAGAAACCGGGTTACGATACCCGTGGTGGGCAGAGCACAGATAGACCATTGTGTAGCTTTGTGCTAACTTAAAAAAAAACACCTTTAACAAAAATTAAATATTAGCACGTCACACGAATAACAACAAAATACCGATGTTTATAATAATGTACATGTGATGCAGAAATAAAAAAAAGTAACAAAAGTCTCCTTTCGGCTTTCCTCGTATGCATATCGCAATAAAGCATAATATAATACTGCAATCACGAAAACCCTTCATACAATATAAATAAAAACATAAGTAATACAATAATATTAAACTGAATATAATACACAAACAACTAACCATCTCTCACTCATGTGAGCAAGTGAGTGATGACACTTTAAACATATATGTATGATATACATAAATCTAAGGAAAAAAGAAATATACATTCAAAATGAATGCACATTACAAATATCATTTACTTCTCTCTCCCTTCCACACATACTCACATGTGTGAAAGATTTAGGATATCATTATTACAAAACTAAAAATTCAAAACTGTTTGTTAGGTCTCATGTCTCTTACATCTACTTGTGAGTGTGTAAGACAGAGGACTCTCTCAAATGTAAATACAAAAACACATACATACATATACCTGTACATAATATGTTACAATAATTATATACAAGATTTAAATTTACCTCACAGTCACTCTCACTCACCTCAACCCCACCAGCAGATTCTCTAGAGTTATAGTTGTCTTGTGGTTGACTGTCATTGACGCCTTCAGATAATCCTGAGCTTTTCTGAGGGCTCTTTCAGTGTCAGCAAGTCTGAACCACAAGTACCACACCACCTTCTCATATCGTCTCAGCCAACCTTCATCTCTGTTGTACAGGACTCATGCCCCTGTCCAGTTGACAACCATTTCTTGATAATACCTGAAGACTGGTATTTTGGTAGTTTGGTTGCCAATTCCATCCTTGCTGTTTTCTAAGATGGCTCCTAGAGTATCTTTGCTTGTAGACTTTGGTGAGAATGACTATGAAGATTATTGCCCTTAACATAGAGGCTTCCTTATTAACGACTGAAGCTGGTCAACAAGATGACTGGATCTTCTGGATGGCCATCTTCACAGTCTTCTGGACTGAAGTTGTTCAGGATCCTGTTCTGCCTTTACCTTCATAGGCCTTGGATAAATTTGAGACAGACCTCATTCCAAAAAGCTCTTTTTTGCCTTTGAGATGTAGTGGTTCTACCAGAGATGTGATCACATCTGATGGCGTCTTGTTGTGGTGGTGGTGTAGTGCTTCCTACAATAGGAGAGTTCACTGAGTCCCATATCTCCTGTCTACCTATAGCAACACATGTAATGCAATTAAATATATAAATGAAAACTATAAACATAAGTTGAAATCCGCATGCAGCCCTATCTGCCTATAGAAACAACGTCTGCCTTTATAAGATGTATGCAATATATTAGAAAGATTTATAAAGTTGATGAGGTTAAAATAGCAGATTTAATGTTTTATCTATAAAGCAATACTATAAACATAATGTTAGGTCATTTAATGTCATAACTATCTTCGTGCTCATCATACCAACGTACCCTCTGGTGCCACCTCGTGTCCTAGCAACATGCTCTCTGTTGGATAACACTCGAATTGTGATGTCACGCCTGACAACACGATATCTGGTAGTAGACAACTTCCATCATCTTGTGTTATGGTGACATGACAACTTGCCCTCTGGTGACGCTTTGTAGAACCATGACGTCATCATCTTTACCCCCTCCTCTTCCCTCCTGAGACAGTCAATCAGCACGTGCGTCTCATGTACAGGGAAAACTATTCTCATGAACAAGAAAGTACCATTCTAATTTCGACATTTGATAAACCTGGGGCTACCAGGGAAAACGTCTCTTGAATTTTCCTCCTCTTTCAGCCCGCCCCCCAGTGGCACAGAGGTATGTCTGCGGACTTACCATGCTGGGTTTCGATACCCGTTGTGTAGCTTTGTGCTTAATTACAAACAAACTTTCAGCCCCCCCCCCACCCCCTCTCGAGATAACACTTTGAGTCAATACGT